GGCATTTGGTAGAAAGAGCAGGCGTCAGTATTTCCATGAGGTTAGAAACAGCTGTTTTTAGGGAGTGGTTGTTTGACACAGCATTCGAACTGCTATTTGGGACACTTGTATCTCACATCAGAATGCCTGGGTTCAAGTCTCAGCTCTGCTTCCAATTCCTAGTTCCTGCTAATGTGCATCCTGGGAGGCAGCAGATGATGACTCAAGTACTTGGGTCCCCTCCACCCATATGAGAGACCCAGAGTGAGTTCCTGGATCCTGGCTTCTGCCTGGCTTAGCCCTGGCTGTTGTGACAATAAAGCAGCTAATGGAAGATCTTTCTCTGTGTCTGTCTGACTTTAAGTAAAACCAGCTATTTTTGTCTTTGCCTCTTATTCTGTTTTTAAACCTACATGTATAATGTGTCCTGTCCTTGTAGTTACAGCATAGAAAACCTTAATTGCTTTTTGTACTGGGCCAGTGCTGTGGCATAGCAGGTAAAGCCGCCACCTGTGGTGCCGGCATCCCATATGGGCACCTGTTCAAGTCTCAGCTGCTATATTTCCAATCCAGCTCCCTGCTGATGTGCCTGGGAAAGCAGTAGACGATGGCCCAAGTCCTTGGGCCCCTGCACCCATGTGGGAGACCCGGAAGAAGCTCCTGGCTCCTGGCTTTGGATTGGCCCAGCTCAAGCTATTGCAGTCATCTGGGGGAGTGAATGAGCGGATGGAAGATCTCTCTCTCTCTCTGTGTCTTTCTATCTAACTCTGTCCTTCAAATAAATAAATCTTTTAAAAAACATATTTTTCACTTAGCCCTTTTCTGTGTCCCTGTCATGTTTATTACTTTCATAGATGACAGCACAGTGCATTTTATATTAATATACCATGTAAGGGCCAGCGTTGTGGCACAGTGGATTAAACTGCTGTTTCTGATGCTTCTATCGCATATTGGAATGGTGGTTCCTGTTCCAGCTGCTCTGCTTCCAGTCCAGCCTCCTAATGTGTCCTGGGAAGGAACAGATGATGGCCCAAGTGACTGAGTCCCTGCCACCCATGTGGGAGACTAGGATGGAGTTCCTGGCTCCTAACTTTGGCCTGGCCCAGACCTGGCTATTATAGCCATTTGAGGAGTGAGCTAGTGAATTAGAGATTTCTCTGTCTCTCCTCTATGTCACTCTGCCTTTCAAATAAATAAAGAAGTCTTTTTAAAAAGGATAATATACCATGTGACTTATTTTTGGAGACTGCTATTTTTTAATAACTTTGCCGTTGGCATCCTCACAGAATCCAGCTTCTGCTTAATGATAGATTCTCAAAAGGAGAGAGACTGGATCAAGCTCCACCAATGTTCGTATGACTCTTGTTCTGCATTTCTTTAATACCTTCCTAAGGGGGACTTATTTTCCCTGTAACTTTGACATTTGATTTCCTAAAGATTTATTTATATTTAAAAAATTGTTAGGATAATGTATAAATCAATTTATATTAAAAGATTTATTTATTTATTTGAAAGGTAGAATTACAGAGAGGAAGAGAGATCGTCCATCTGCCGGCTCACTCATTAGTTGCAATGGCTGGAGCTGAGCTGAGCTGATCAGGAGCCAGGAGCTTCTTCCAGGTCTCCCACATGGGTGCAGGGGCCCTAGGACTCGGGCCATCTTCTACTGCTTTCCCAGGTGGATTAGCAGGGAGCTGGATCGGAAGTGGAGCAGCCAGGACTCGAACCGGTGCCCATATGGGATGCAGGTGTCCCAGGCAGCAGCCGCTAAGCCACAGCCAGCCCCAAAGATAAACATTTTGTTGTATCACAGAAGAAACTTGAATCACTTAGAAGTTGTCGTTCAAGATATTTTTTTAAGATTTATTTATTTATTTGAAAGTTAGAGTTACACAGAGAGGAGAGAGAGAGAGAGAGAGGTCCACCATCCACTGGTTCACTCCCCAGTTGGTTGCAACGGCCGGAGCTGTGCCGATCCGGAGTCAGGAGCTTCTTCCGGGTCTCCCATGCAGGTGCAGGGGCCCAAGGGCTTGGGCCATCTTCTACTGCCTTCCCAGGCCATAGCAGAGAGCTGGATTGGAAGTGGAGCAGCCGGGTCTCGAACCAGTGCCTATGTGGGATGCCGGCGCTTCAGGCCAGGGTGTTAACCCGCTGCGCCACAGCACCGGCCCCCAAGATACTTGTTTATATATGTGAAACTTCTTTCCATTAGCCCTCAGAGAACTCTGGTTTTATTTGTTTGTTTTAAGATTTCTTTACTTATTTGAAAGGCAGAGTTAGAGGGAGAGAGAGAAGCTTCTATCCACTGGTTCACTCCCCAGATGGCTGCAACCAGGAGCCCAGAGCTTCATCCTGGTCTCCCATGTGGGTACAGGGACCCAAGATTTGGGCCATCCTCCGCTGCTTTCCTGGACATATTAGTAGGGAGCTGGATTGGAAATGGAGCAACCAGGACTTGAATTGGCAGTGATATGGGATGTGGGCACTGTAGGGGTGGCTTAGCCTGCTGTGCCACAGTGCCGGCCCCCTCAGCTCTCTAACTGGATCTGTGTAGTTCATTTAGGATACCTACTTATGAGAAGGATGTTAAAAGTCCTGTGATAGTTTCAGCTGAGATTTCTTTATCATTAAATAAACAACAGATGCTTAAGCACCTACTAGTGCTGGTAGTCATTGTGGGAGACAGAAAAACATTGGAAATATATATATATACACACACACACACACATATATATATATTCTGGGGGTCGGCATTGTGCAGTGGGTTAAGCTGCCACCTGCGACATCAGCATCCCATATGAGCACCAGTTTGAGTCCTGGCTGCTCCACTTCCAATGAAGCTCCCTGCTAATGCACCTGAGAAAGCAGCAGAGGACAGCCCCAGCACTTGGGGCCTGTGCTACCCATGTAGAAGACCAGAATGATAGTTCTGGGCTTCTGATTTCAATCTAGCTCAGTCTCAGCTGTTGCAGCTGTTTAGGGAGTGAACCAACAAATGGAACATCTCTCTCTGTAACTATGCCTTTCAAATAAAATCTTTTATAAAAAATATATATACGCTCTGGAAAATTTAATGCCAAAGGATCTGTTCAGGAAAGGAGTCTTCCAAAACAGTTAATCCTGGCGAGCAGTAGTTAACCAGTAAGCAAAGCATAATGTAGATGGCCAAGGGCCCAGGGCGGAAGTTAGTGGGGGCTGGATAATACTCCTACAGGCATCCCACATGCTAGCGAATGTGAGGGTACCGCAAAAAAGGTCGTGGAAAGTAGAATTAAAAGCTAAAGTTTCTCTTGTTGTACAAGGAACTCTGAAGTCCTCGCATGATTTTTTCCTTCATCTGCATTTTGCATGGACTTTTTGAAGGTCTTGCCTCTGTGGTACAGAATATTTGGTTGTGATTTTTGTTGGGCAGAATATAGAGTTAAACACAGCCAGAACCGCTTGCCCCTGCCTGGTGCCCCACCCTGTCACAGTTTTTTACACACATTAGTGCCCTCTGATCTTTACTTGGTGGACACAATCTCACTGCCCTTTGCTTTCCCAGGCAGACCCGTGTGGATGAGGAAGATGGGAGCAATCCACACTGAGTGTGTTGCAGGCCGGGGCTCTCGAACCCCGACAGCCCAGATCCATCACAAGGCCAATGCTGAGGGTGCAGAGGTTCTTTGGATGACCTTTCCTCTAGTCTTCTTTCTCTTAAAATCTGCATTTCTTTGAGAAGCAGAGAGACAGAGGAAGAGAGGGTCTTCCCCTCCCCAGTGGTTCACTTCCCAAATCCCAGCAATGGTAGGGGCTGGGCCAAGTCTGAAGCTGGAAGCCAGGAACACAATTCAGACCTCTTACGTGGGTTGCAGGAGCCCAATTACGTGAGCCATCATTGCTGGCTCCCAGGTTGTACTGAAAGCTCAAGAGCTGGAGGTGGGTATCGAACCCAGGTACTTTGATGTGGGACATAGTGGTTGGTTTTGTTTTTTTTTTTCAGATTTTATTTTATATATTATTTGAAAGGCAGAATGACAGAGAGGGAGAGACAGATCTTTCACCCTCTAGTTCACTCCCCAAATGGCCACAATAGCCAAGGCTGGTCCAGGCCAAAGTTAGGAGCCAGGAACTCCCATCCTGGTCTCTCATGGGAGGGAACCCAGATTCTTGGACCATCTTCTGCTGCCTCCCAGTGCGTTCGCTGGAAGCTGGGTGGAAAGTGGCACAGCTGGGATGGGAACATGCACTCAGATATGGGGTGCGAGCATTGCCACGTGGCAGCTCAACCTGCTGTGTGACCCTGCCAAGCCCTGGTGTTCTAACCAGTCTTCTGAAGGAGAAAGCTGCTTGCCAGTGGCTTTCTCCATGAGCCTTAAGTTTGGCAATATCCGGCTAAAAGTGGATTGCTGGGGACCGGCGCTGTGGCATAGTGGGTTAAGCCGCTGCCTGCTGTGCTGGCATCCCATATGAGTGCCGGTTTGAGACCTGGCTTCTCCACTTCCGATCCAGCTCTCTTATGTGGCCTGGGATAGCAGTGGAAGATGGTCCAAGTGCTTGGGCCCCTGCACCTGCTTAGGAGACCTGGAGGAAGCTCCTGGCTCCTGGCTTCAGATCGGCACAGCTCCGGCCGTTTTGGCCAATTGGGGAGTGAACCATCAGATGGAAGACCTCTCTCTCTCTCTCTCTCTCTCTCTCTCTCTCTCTCTGCCTCTCCTTCTCTCTGTGTGTAATTCTGACTTTCAAATAAATGAATAAATCTTTAAAGGAAAAAGTGGATTGCTGAAGTATGTACACAGGCATCTGTGGTCAGGGTGGGAGGGTTGCCTCCAAGCGGGGACCTGATTTGGTGGCTGCCTGTCTACATGTTCCTTCCACACCATAGCACATGGTGTTTGCCTCTTGTGCTGGCTAGGCTTGTGCCCACTCTTGGTCACCCGGGAGAACCTGCGGTGCTGGGAGATGATCATTGTCATCATGTTAGTGAACAAACCAGTTTTTGTGTGCAAGACCATGTTGGGGATAAAAGAAAAAACTTCAGCTGAACACCCCCAAAAGGATTTATTTTTTAGAAAATCATGGCTCACCACAGTAGCCTGTAATATTATTTTCATATATGTATACTTGAAATCAACATTTAAAAAAAAAAACAACTGCTGTTGTAAAACTTTAATGCATGTGCAACTACGCTTCGGCATCCTTCTGCTCTTCGGAAATCTCTGGTTCCAAATCTCAAAGCCCAGTAGGAAGAGCTCACAGATTTTCTCTTTTTCTCTACAATTCCGTCTTCAGCAACTTGCGTGCTTTCTTCATGTTGTCAAGCACTAATGGGAGAAACAGAGCCAGGATACGATTAGCAACACAGCAACAGATTCAGCGAGTCTCCAAGCTTTCCTTTCGTCCTCCAGTGTTTAATGAATAGGGCAAATAGTTGGTCATCTTAATGTAATTTAAAAAAAAAATAAATTGTTTGTGTGACAGTCCAGTTCTCTAATAAATCTAGTTTCTTCTCAGATCTTCCCTCTCCAACCCACACTCCCATCAAAATCACTTTATAAACGCCCCCAGCAGAAGACAGGTTTGGCTATTTGTAGTAAATTGTAAGTCGTGCTGATGAGAAGCACTTGCTAGTAGGTATCTGTTGCTCCTCCCAATTGTTTAGAAGTAGGTAGAATACAAATTATAAGGAGCAAAAAACCGAGTGCTTTATGCACCTGCGTTCCTTTAATTCTTGCAAAGCTCTATTCCTGCTTCACGTGTAGGTGAAGAAATGCATGCTGGGAGGCTGAGTAGCTTGCCTGCTTGAGGTGATAGAGCTAGCAAGTAGCAGAGCCCAGACAGGCCCTGGAAGCTGCTGCTTCATGCCTACCGATGTGTATTAAATGCCTGCTTTTCAAGGCACTCCTGGGTAGGGTCCCTGCCTTGAAGTCACTCAAGCACACGCTGCTGTCTCAAGAACGGCTGGTTCTTGGAAGGTCCTCCCGGCATCCACTGGCGGCGTGGCTCACGCATGGCGAGGGTCACCGCAGCTGCCCAGGCACCGCCCCACACTGGCTCCAACAGTGCTTAAGCCAGTACTGTCCGATAAAAATTTCTGGGATGGTGATGTTCGTGTTTGCTTACTGGGGGCTCATGTGACTGAAAAACAATGTCTTGATTTTGGTGTAAAAGGAAATAGCAACTTGTGGCCAAAGGAGAGTGGAGAGTGACCCCCGTGTCTAGCCCACTGCTAGCTGATCAGAACTGGTTCCTTGGAGAAAGCCCAGTGTTCCTCCCAGAAGGACTAACCAGGCGTCCCAGCTGAAGGCACAGTCCTCTATCTCAGTATTTCATGTGCCTTCTAATCTTCCTTCTTCTATGGCAACCACAGGGGATGCTGTTGGGGCCATCTTTCTTACTGATCTTTAAGTCAAACCTGAACCCAGCTGAACTGGACTCAATTATTTCCCTCTTGTTCCGTGGACATGAGGGCATGCAGACTGGCACAACTCCTGCCCTCTGCGCTGTGGTAGGAGTCGTGGGTTCCTGTGCCTAACAGGAAGCTGAGAGGCAGGGAACGTGGCTAGGAGCCTCTTAGAGAAAAAGCTGCCTGCTGTAGCTCATCTTCAGTGGAGGTACAAAACCACACAAAGCCGAGACCTTGGAGTTGTGGGGTGTCTGAGGATGCGGGGCCAGCTGGGGTCCCCACGCAGAGCTCTCTCCCACCTCCTGCTGCTGCTGCTCCCCCCCTCCTCCCCACACCCTGCATGGGTAGAGAGGCTCAGCACGTGGTGGCATCCAGGTTGGGGGTGACACTTACGTAGATTTATGTCAGAAGGTTCATAGGCGTATAGGCGATTGGAGTATCTTCCCGTGATGTCAGCTCTCACCGTCAGGGATGGGTCTGCAAGGATCAAGCAAAAGGGATGCGACGCTTTGTTTTCGAGTAGCTTGTGCGCGTGATAAACTCGTGCCACCACATTCTCGGAAAACAGACCAGCCGGCATCCCGCGGACGCAGCTACCCCCCCAGCCGCACTGCGACCCTGCCTCCGGCCCTGGACAGCCAGCTCGGACCCGAGCCTTCAACAACGACACAGTGCTACTTGTGGAAACAAGAATACATAATTTGGGAGTGGTTATTTTGTTTTTCTCGTGAAAACATTATCATTCTCTGCTACAAAATTATGGCCTACTATCAGTTACAGAGAAAGAGAGAGGGAGACACACACACACACACACACACACAGAGGTCTTCCATCCACTGGTTCACTCTCCAAATGGCCACAATGGCCAGGGCTGGACAGGCCAAATCCAGGAGCCAGGAGCATCATCTGGGTCTCCCATGTGGGTAGCAGGGGCCTAAGCCCTTGGGCCATCTTCTGCTGCTTTCCTAGGCACATTAGTAGGGAGCTGGATTGGAAGTGGAGCAGCAGGGACTTGAACCAGCACCTACATGGGATGTTAGCACTGCAGGCAGTGGCTTAACTCGCTAAGCCACAGTGCCGACCCCTTTGGGCTACCTTTGAAGTGATTATGTTGCAGTTGACATGTTTTATCAAGAGTGACCTAGAAAAATGGAAGCCCACATCCAGCACTGATTTGCAAAATAAAAGTTTTTTTTTAACGAATATGAGAATGCAAGGCTTTAAAAATGGCAAAGGTTAAATCAGCACATGGTGCTTCTCACTGGTTCTTACTTTATTGTTAATTAGCTACATTCAGAAAATATCCAGCAGTCTTCTTTTACCCATACATGCATTCTTCTAGATTTAAATCCAGTGTTTCATATTTTACATTTAACTTAATTACCTGTTTTGGAAAAATCCATTTTAGGAGTGGTTTCCAACATTACATAATAGAGCGCCTGGGACGACTCTGCTCTAGGTGCAGCCTCCATGCTACTGCACACTCTAGGAGGCAGCAGATGATGGGTCAAGTACCTGGGTCCCTGCCACCCACATGGGAGTCCCAGATGGAGCTCCTGGCCCCTGGCTTCAGCCTAGCCCAGATCTGGCTGTTCCGGGCATTGGGGGACTGTACTGATATATGGGAAGCTCTCTCTCTCTCTCTGGTTTTCTGCCTTTCAAATACATACATGCATACATACATACATAAGTAACTCTTTTAGAAAAAGTGTACTTCGGGAAAAAAATGCATCCAAAAGGGAAATAGGAGAGGCATCTGGAAATCCTGCTCTGAGAGGTGATTGACAGAACTTAGGGCACGTGTGCTGAAAACCAGAGGCTGACACAGGTGAAGCCACCTGTCGCTGGTCCTGAGAGGACGATCTGTCATTTCAGACCAGGGGACGAGGAACCACAGGTGTAAGCTCTAGGAGACAGACAGTGATTTATTCAATGAAGATGGAAGACGCACTCTACTCATCAGATCTTCATTAGAATTAACCCCCGAGAGGCTTTCCCAATGCCCAGCCGGATGCTCCTGACCCCGGCTGCACACTGGAAGCACCCGCAGAGCTCCACGCATGCTGGATTCTGATTTAATTGGCCTGAGGTGGGGTGTGGGTGGCCCTCCAGGTGCATGTAACAGAGCCAGAGTGGAGGACCCCACAGTCCTCAGCGAGGAGAGCAAGTAGCTTCGGAGTTGGAGCTTCTAACTGCAGGCAGCGAGCGCGGATTCAGGGACCTCATAAAACCCATTCCTGCACGAGGTATGACTGGGTGGCTGACAAATCCCCCGCTAATGTTGTTTCTGAAAGTTCTCAACCCCGACAGCAAATCTGTAAAGTGAGTGCCGTGGTTCTGCCTTCCTCCTTTCTTCCTATCACTCCATTTTCTCTCCTGGGTTCTACATTTATTGTGAACTTTGCTGAATTACTTGGGTGAACCACTTGATTAGAGTGAGCTCAGCGACATGATGGATTTTTATTGTTATTATTATTTGCAAGGCAGAGCAACAGAGAGAGGGGAAGAGGGGAAGAGAGGGTGAACTTCCATTAGCAGGTTCATCCTGCAAATGATGTCAACGGCCCAGGCTGGGCCAGGCCGAAGCCAGGAGCTTGCAACTCACTCAGGATCTCCCATGTGGGTTGTGGGGGGCCCAAGCACACTAACAGGAAGCTGGATCAGAAGCAGAGCAGCTGGGACTTGAACCAGTGCTCCGCTGTAGCATGCAGGTCTTTGCAAGCTGTGGCTTAACCTGCTGCACCTGGATGCTGCTAGCCCCTGGGATGGATTCAATTACGCATTTTTTTTCTTAAATCTGTCTGATCAAAGCCAAACACAGGACCTGCCTTTGCTCTTTCAGCAAATGCTCATGTAGAGCACACAGCAGAGGCTTTGAGGCAGGAACAGAGCCCTTGCCTCCCTCATGGGGCTAGCATCAATCCTGTATGGGCAAACCTTTATTAAATAACCACCCAGGAGGTGCAAACTTGTCCCGGAGGAAAAGCGTTAGTAATGAGAAAAATGAGGTGCTGCAGGTAGACAGTGGGGGTCTGAGCAAGTCTGTGATGACAGTGATGATCAGGGAGTTAACAAGTGATGGTGGGCTGGTGCTGTGACTTAGCGGGTAAAGCTACCGCCTGCAGTGCCAGCATCCTATATGGGTGCTAGTTTGAGTCCTGGCTGCTCCACTTCCCATTCAGCTCTCTGCTATGGCCTGGGTAAGCAATAGAAGATGGCCCAAGTCTTTGGGCCCCTGCAACCATGTGGGAGACCCAGAAGAAACTCCTGGCTCCTGACTTCAGATGGGCTTAGCTCTGGCCGTTGTGGCCATCTGGGGGAGTGAACCAGTGGATGGAAGACCTCTCTCTCTCTTTCTCTCTGTGCCTCTCTCTTTAACTCTACCTCTCAAATAAATAAATACATAAAATCATTAAAAAGAAAAAAGTTGGCACCTAGAGAGCCTGAGGACATAGAGTTGATAGATCGTGGAGACTGACTCTGACTAATGAAGAGATTGAAAGGGAAAAGATTCCTTAGTCTTAACCCTGGGAGGCTGGAAGTAGGGAGACTAATAAATATGAATATGTCATAAAGTAGAAGGAAGTTTGAATTCAAAGATGAGAAGCTTGATAGACATGTTTAACATGGAAAAAAAAAAAGTGATGGGGGAAGATAGCAGAAAGCAGGAAAAGTTTTCCAGTCTAGGGAACAGCATTAGAAAAGTGCCAGTGGTAGCAAGGAGCCTGACTACCTTAAAATTCTTTTCCTAACTATTCTAAAAATAATTATCAAAAATGTCAGAAAGAAAAATAGAAATAAAGTACAGATTGAACAGTTCCCAGTTAAAAACAATTCAGGTTCAACTGTGGTCCAGCAGATTATGCCTGCCTCTTGCAATGCTGGCATCCAATATCGGAGCACTGGTTCGAATTCTAGCTGCTTCAGTCTGGATCCAGCTCCCAGCTAATGCACCTGGGAAAGCTGTGGAAGATGGGCCACCCATGTGGGAGACCTGAGTGGAGTTTCTGGCTCCTGGCTTCAACCTGTCCCCAGCCACAGCCGTTGTGGCCATTTGGGCAGTAAAGCAGCAGAATGGAAGATATTTTTTTTCCTCTCTCCCTCTCTCTAACTCTGCCTTTCAAATAAACAAAATAAATTAACATTCCTGATGTATTCAGGAAAATTATCTGTGCACATAAACAGTTAAGAGTGTGCTTCCTTCTCAGATGTATTTGTGGCAGAAAGCAGAAGTTCAAGTGAACAGATGAGAAAGCTCAGCTGTGGGAACCAGCAGATGCTCGCATTTTCTGATGGGGATGTGCTGTGAAACTTTTCATACCCTGGGGATATTGTACCCATTTGCTAGGGTGCAGGGGACAGGAAGGAAGTGGCCTTGGCCATGGTGCAGTAGCAGATGAGGGTATAACGGACAAGAAGGCACAGGACAGCACCTGTGTCATTCTGAGAGTATTTTATCTCTTGCCACTTCCACTTACCAACAAACATGATCCTGGGGACGTACTGGCCATCAGGAGAAAGGTGTTTGTCGGTTGTTTCATACTAGGATTGAAACAAACAAAGCAGCAGTTAGTTTGTTTACTCTTCAGCAGCCATTTTCAAACTTCCTTTTTTTTTCATCCGCAGAAGGCAGAGTGGACAGTGAGAAAGAGACAGAGAGAAAGGTCTTCCTTTTGCTGTTGGTTCACCCTCCAATGGCCGCCACGGCTGGCGTGCTGCGGCTGGCGCACTGCACTGATCTGAAGCCAGGAGCCAGGTGCTTCTCCTGGTCTCCCGTGGGGTGCAGGGCCCAAGCACTTGGGCCATCTTCCACTGCACTCCCAGACCACAGCAGAGAGCTGGCCTGGAAGAGGAGCAACCAATACAGAATCCAGTGCCCTGACCGGGACTAGAACCCTGTGTGCTGGCACCACAGGCGGAGGATTAGCTGGCCCAAACTTCCTAATGTGTCCATTATGGAGCCAGGCACCTTAAGATAGAGTCAGGCACGTTTATAATATAGATGAGGGACTGGGTATGGGGATGAAATCTCAGGTAGGAGGGAGCAGATGTGTGATACACAGGAACATAGAGAAGCTTAAGAAGCGAGGATTTACAGATTTTAGGGAAGATGAGATGGGAGGAGATGGATAGATGGAAAAGGCAGAAGTCATTTCTGAAGGCAATTACAGGAGCAGACAGGCTTAGCTGGAGCCTTCTTCTCTCCATGGATCTATTTTTATTTAGAATTTTATGGATTTAGCAATTGCTGTGCTTATCTTTAAGGAATGCACAGAGAGGGAGGAACGTGAATATCGAGGCTGCAGCAAGTGAAATGTTAGGAAGTGAGGGTGGGCAGGTGAGGGCGCAGGAGAACTGGGCTCAGAAGATAGGCAGGTTCCCCTTGGCTTTTCCAAAGCAGGCATCTCAAATGACGAATAGGAACCAGTTGTGTGGAAAAGAGGGCCCCCGCGTGGGGTGGGGGACCTGTGTGTTCACAGGGCTGCAAAGGAAAGGCACCATGTTCTCCTGTACATCACGGTGCTGCAGAGGGAATGAAGATTGGGGATGCATGAGAGCAGAGGTGAAGATGCTAGAACTGCCTGGAGCTGGCCCATCAGAGACCCGGCGCATTGTGCCAGAGTGTGTTCACTTATTCAGAGATCGTCAACAACCCTGGTTGGATGCTCAAAGAGGCACATGACCCCAGTGCAGCATGGGATTAGATGGGGCTTAGCTTGTAGGCTGGGAGCCATCTGGTAACCCCTCAGGAAGCTAGGCCAAGTGAAAAAGTCTTGCTCCGGAATGGAGTTCCTTTCTTGGTAGAGCCGCGACCAACAGCAGGAGCATTCTGAACGGAGGAGGGTAGAGATTCCCCACTGTGGGTGAGGAAATTCCAACCTAGAATTGCCGGTTCTGGACGCCCCCAATCCTGGTTCATTCAGGGTGGTCAGCAGAAGCGCGTTCTGAGCTACCTAGAACTAGGATGTGTTGGGGGTTGTTGGGTGCTTGGGTAAGACGTAGGAATTGCTGGGGTATGGATGAAAGGCAGGTGTAGAAGTTTCCAGGGAGAATGTGAAACATGAAAAGTGGGTCAAGTTGAAGTTCATCAAGTCACAAACATGAGGGGGTGGAAAGGAAAAGAGCAGCCTTCAGAGGGAGGCACAGGAGAAAGCACAGCGGGGAGGGGGGGCTACTCCTGGGGGAAGGCAATCTGTGAAGACAGGGCAGAGAGAGAGGAATCTCCTGGGGACATATGGTTGGGTGTTTTATTTTAGTTGAGAGTCTGGGACAGTTCCTATCCTCGGGTTCACACCCCCAAGTGCCTACAATGGCCAGGGCTGGAGCTAGGAGCTTGGAACTGGATCCAGGTCCCTCAGGTGGGTGGTAAGGACCCAACCACTTGGGCACTCCCTGCTGCCTCCCAGGAAGTGCGTTAGCAGGAAGCTAGAATCAGAATTGGAGCCAGGATGCAGACCCTGGCAGTCTGATATGGGAATATGGGCACCCCAAGCAGTGTTGTAACCACTATTTCAAATGTCTTTCCTACTAGTTAGGTGGTTTTTTGGTTTTTGGGGACTGAATAGAAAGAACTTGCAAAGACAGAAAGCTTGAACATCAGAGGGGCTGGTTGAGCAGGTAGTGAGATGGGGGTTCATGAAGCTAACACACAAGAGACCTGGCTGGATTTGCATAGCCCAAAAGCTCTGTCTCCCAGATGGAGAGGAGACAGAGTAAGCATGGTTGCAGAGAAGCCAGGGCTGCAGTGGGTGGACACAGAGAGTAGAGTGTAAACTCTGAACTCTTCCAGTTGTCATAGCAACAGAGAAAATCCTGACCATAGGAGAGTATTTTTTTTCAGACACCCTAAGATTATTAATTGCTACATAAAACCATAAACATTGCAGATAGATTCTTTTTAAAAAAAATTTTTTTTTTGACAGGCAGAGTTAGTGAGAGAGAGAGAGACAGAGAGAAAGGTCTTCCTTCCGTTGGTTCACCCCCTAAATGGACGCTATGGCCAGCGCGCTGTGCTGATCCGAAGCCCAGAGCCAGGTGCTTCCTCCTGGTCTCCCATGTAGGTACAGGGCCCAAGGACTTGGGCCATCCTCCACTGCACTCCCGGGCCACAGCAGAGAGCTGGACTGGAAGGGGGGCAACCGGGACAGAATTTGGCACCCCATCTGGGACTAGAACCTGGGGTGCTGGCGCCGCAAGCGGAGGATTAGCCTAGTGAGCCACGGCACTGCAGATAGATTCTTAATAAGACAAAGTATCTGTCCTTCCCACCGGTCTGTGAGATGGGAGATTTGGAAGCGATCCCAGATAACTCGAGGCAGGGGAACATGTTAATGACAATGGAAATGAACTTACAACGAGATTGAGGAGGACGAACTGCTCTGCCAGCTTCTGGATGTCTTTATTTTCGGCAAACACTTTCTTTAAAGCTATAATGTAAAGAAAAATGATTATATTCCCAGCTCGGCATTGTGTAAAACTCTTTCTCTATTCCAAGTTGAATGGCATTTTTTAAGTGTAAATTAAAACTTGATTGAATAAAGAACACTCTCCAGAACACAGGATTGGATGGACCAGAACTACATTACATGCAGTGAAGCTGAACATGGACAGTGGTTTAACATGGAACATCAGCCAAATGCGTATTTTTCATCGTACAAAACTGTTTATGTAGCCGATGTGCAGGAAGGGAAGTATGATTCTCAGCATTTTCACCAATCATCTGTAAAGGCCTTTAAAAAGGCATTTGCAGAAACTGATAGAAAGCCTCAGCATGGGGTTCAAGTACATGTGTACTACCGAAACCTCTTTCAACCTGTCTAGCGTTCCAAATCAACTCTTAGTGCAAACATCAAAGTTGCTGGTCACTCCCATAGACTGCCAAACTCATACAGTAGGGCGTAAGATCTGAATTAATGTGTATTATGTAGAGCAAAACCAAGAATACCAGTTACTGCAAAATTGATCTAGGCATACTCTATAGTTCATGCTAGGCATTTCTTCCAAGTCTCTCGCATTAATGACTAAAGCCTGTTTGCAATAGTAAATTTCAAAAATATGGACTGCATGAATTTGCAGGTCATTGTTGCGCAGGGGCCATGCTGATCTTCTCTGCATCGTTCCAGTTTTCTTATATGTGCTGCCGAAATGAGCAGTGGATGGCATTTTGAATACAGTTTCTGCATTGCTCTTTAGCAGTTAGTGAACTAATGCAATGCTGTTTACTGCTCTTCTATTTTTCCAGTCACTCCGGCAATCACTCATCATTCATTCATCCACTTATTCTTTTTTTTTTTTTTTCAACCCCGTAGGAACTAAATGGCTACTGCTGGCATGGGCACTGTTTTATGCACTGGGGGAAGTGTAGTGGAGGAGTAAAAAAAAGCAAATGTTGCTTTTGTAGAGGTCAAATTCTTGTGTGAGAGACAGACCGTAGATAAGTAAGTAGATAAATATACAATAGTTTCTGGTGGAAGTGAGCACTGTGAAGGAAAATAAAGCAGAGGCAGAGGTGAAAGAGCCATGGGCAGGTCAGGGTAGACCTCGGTAGGAGGTGACGGTGAGGTGGGGCAGTGATCCAGTTTGGAGGGGGATGGCCCCGTGCAGAGGGAACAGCAGGCAGCCCTGCAGTGGGAGTGAGCTCTGGGGTCTGGGGAATAGCTCCAAGGCCAGGCCAGATAGCGAGGAGAAAGAAGGGACTGGGAAGGAAAGGAAAGGCAGCCACAGGCCAGATGTTGCCCAGCCTCGCAGGCCCTGGTCAAGCACAGGGATGTAGTTTTAGCTGTGATGAGAAACCACACAAGCCCATGAGTGGTGGGATATGGTTTCGGCTTAACAGCCACGCTCTAGCGTTTGTATGGAGAACCAACTGTCGGGTGACCAGACTGGCAGCTGCTACTGTGTTTTTGACAAGCCCTGAGCCGGGCCTGGCTCAAGGCCATTAGCACTAAAGCCATAGGAAGGGGTTGGATTTGGGCAAGGCCAGCAACATGCAATAGGGGGTCCAGGGGGAAATGAAAATGTAGATCCCCTTGCTGGAGAGTTAGTCAGAATTTCAGGACAGGGACAGTGAAGCTTGGAAGTGACTGTAAGGAACTGGGAAGCCCTGGGCCTTGTGTGGCTGCATAGGTTGCCTACCCATTAAACACATGCCAGCTTGCAGGTACATTTTGAAAGCGAAGCTCACTGATGTGTTGCATGTAAGAGAGGCCAGCTGAGGATGAACCATAGGACTTACACCCACGTTTCACATGAAAGGTAGAAATAATTGAAGTTGAGTTTAAAAATATACTTTCATGCTTTAAAATGTAACATGTTCTTTCTTGCTCAACTGTGTTGGGTTCTAGTGATACAAAGATGGGGGATCCAGTCCCTGACCTACAGACCAGAGGGCTGAAAAGGGAATCCAGCCTGGGAGAAGTTACCTTGGCTGTGTGGGCATTCGTCCAGGTGGTGGATGATCATCAGAGGCTTGTTGCTTTAAGACAGAAGAGAGTGGATCACTTTGAGTGAGAGCTCACTAGAGGGTGTTCTGGGAGCTCCTCCCTAGCTCTGCGAAGCCCTGGTGTTTACCTGGTCTTGGATTTGTATAAGGCTTCTTCATAAGTCTGAGTCCAGATGAGTTGGTCACCCCAACCTAGAACAAAAAGAACCAGTGTACTTGAAGCTGCTCCAATTTCTGACCCAAAGCTGTTGAAAAGCAAATGGTAAAAACTGGGATAAATATAATACATGGTATTAAAGGAGGAGAAAAAAATCTTTGAAGAAAAACAATTATAAATTGTCTTCAGTCTAGAAAGGCATATACCCAAATGAATTCAGCACATACATTTCAGCACTGAGAGTTGGGAAATCTTGCCTAGCTAAGTTGTGGCTGGACGCCCACAAGGAGTTGACTCCTACCTCTGGAGAGTGTCTGGGGCAGCTTGGGTTGAGAGTCCTTTGCGTCCTTCTTAGCTCCAGGTTTGACTGTGGTATCTTTGGCCAGTGTGTAGGAGAGGGCCACCAGGAGCAAGACTGCGGACAGGGAGATTTTCTCCATGGCAAATCTGATGTGGAGAATGAGCAACAAGAAGTTAGTAGCCTTCAAGATCTGCAGGTAGCATTGCCGCAGTGGAATCCAACAGGCTCTGTTGAGACTGGACACATGACATCGGAGTGAAAAGCTACTTCCCATGGGGTTTCCCAAGAATATACAGTATGGATATCTACTGCTCTATCCACCTATTTACCAACCTATCTACTTCCTCATCTACCAACTACCTATCTACCTACCTATGTATCTATCTGCCTACCCACCCATCTATCCATCTATCAATAGATATAGATCCACATAGCTCTAGATACAAGGATGTAGATCTCTGAATGGATATATAGTTACCCAGAAATAGATAAGTTAGATATATTAGATATAAGAAAATAGGTAATTAGCTATACATACTCTTACAGCTAAAGAAATTTCCATGTAAATGTCACAAATTACAGCATAGGAAGGTACTTGTGGGGTTACCTCCTCCTTTTCCACCTCCCCAGTGCCTCATGGTATAAGATGAAGAATCTGAAGTTCAGAGAGATGAGAAGGTTTAGGAGATGGATCTAGAACAAAGGCTTCTGGGTCTTCCCTCCACGAAATAATTACCCTTACTACGCATACTTCCTTAACCTCCTGTTAACATGGAAACATTGACACTGAAGAACACACTATGAATAAAATGACGCCTTATTTCACTTAGAACCTGCCAGCCTTGTCACTTGCCCTACCACTTGCATGAACACAATTGTCTCCCAAGTGTAGCATTTGTTCAAACTCCATCTTAGCTTTGAATTGACTACAATGCCCAGCTTCCTTCAAGTGAAGCAGTTCTTGGACTTTCCTTGAGGGCCTTTACTGGCAGGTGATGTGGCATGCCCTTTAAGGCACACAAATATCCTATGAGATTCATAATGTAGTGAAGTAGACCCCATGGATGTCTCTCTGTTACATTCTTCCTTCCTTTCTGGTGTTCCACAGCTACTGCTTGGGAGAAGCTGGGGTAGACGCCTATGAATGGACGGTGAATGGTCAGATGAGTTCCCCGAGTGAGTGAAGAGGCAGGGAGGCAAGCAAAGTGAGTCTCTTGAGCAAGATGCTAAGGTTGGCTAGAGGCCATAACATGGGAAGCTGGAGCTTTGCATTTCTCAGAAAGCCAGACACTAAAATTGCTTAAAAGTCAATACAAAATTATCGCATCTAGCGCTAATATTGGTGTAGGTTTAGAGAGAAGTCAACAAACTCTGCAGAGGAAGTAGGATGAGCTGTCATTGCTCTGTGTTTTTAAGAGAGAGTGTGTCTCATGATCTGTTGGCTTGAATGGAAAACTTTGCTTAGCATTAGCAAAATTGAAAGGCGTTTCCAAGTTATGAACCCCAGTTATTCTTCACGCCACAGTATGTAGCCACAAAACACCTTAATCAGAAAAGACATAAGCAAAGAGCAGAGATAGAATTTCTGAATGTTCTAAGCCTATAGGGATGCGGAAATGTCAGTAATAATTTTTGTCTTCTAGAATTCAGTTCTACAGAAGCAACTCAAGTGTACTGCTCTCTTAGTGTGAAGGCTTATTTTTGATGTTAAAAATAATCAAGAACTTTTATGTGAGGCTAATTAGATGTTTGAACCAACTAAGTATATCATGACAAATAACTACTTTGAATTTATCCGCAAACATTGGGTTTTGTATATTAAGATGACATCTATGTGTATTTTAAAAACTGACACTAAATGGCTGATGAGGTGTTTTATTAGTCCACTGTCAAGTCTTGTTGTACAAGTGGCTATTAGGACCCCTCGTAATAGCTCCATAGGTTAGAGGTTGGAGCTATTGATGTATTACATGCATTTTATGATAGGATGACTCAGAAAGACTAATGGAACTTCTGCTGTACAAACATCCTGCTCTGGATGACTTTCTGAGATTCACTCTTTTCCTAGCGTGAACAGACTCTGGTCTACCAATTTCCTGGATAAACCACTTTAAAACCCAAGGCTAACCATGGAAGAGATGGATAATTTGGAGACACACACACACACAGTGAAACCAGCAGTTTTACTGATCACTATAGCCTCACCTTATCTTTCACAAGAGAGACATTTGCAGGAGTTTTCAATGCCTGTGTTCCTGTTAGGAAAGCAACCCTGACTCTCTCCTCTGACAGTCTATTCCGTGTATTTAAAGATTGAAGAAGCAACTACTGTATCTTTAAAACAGACACAGAGAGGAAGTAGTTACTTATGGCAGTAATATGCTAGGGTACTTCTCAATGTTTATGAAAAATGGAATTAAAAAATTGGTTTATGTTGCTGCAGAAAGTTTTTTAAATCCATGCATATGAGGAGATCTTAAGAAAGTTCATGAAAATGCATATTACGGAAAAGCTATATGTGGATTTCAACTTGTTGTGCACCAAAAGAAATTTATCTCTGAATTCCATTTTGCACCAGTGTTTCGCAGTCCCCTTGTGTTGCCACTGGGGCATCCTACCTGAGGTTCCTTTGCATCAGCCAGTGCGAGAGAAGCAGAGTTGTAGATTGTAACCAAGATAGAAATCTCCGGTCCTTAACCCAGGCTTGAGAATCCCTAGCATTCACCCACTCTTTCAACTTTTGTTTCCTACAGAGGAAACTCAGGAGTGCAACACTCTGCCAGTTCTACCAAAGACAGGCCCCAGGAAGCCTCTGGAAATCGCACGATCCCCTCTCCAAATCCCACTTCACCACCCTCGGACACTTGCACTTCTCTGTTGACTGCACGCAACTTTACAGAGCAATAGGAGCCCAAAGCTCCCTCTAGCAGGTGCCCTTCCCGAGCTGTTGTCAGAATCCTTACCTGGATTTCCCCTCCCACCTGCCTTGTGCGAGACGCTCAGGACGCAGTCCAAGCTTCTGCCTGTGCCAGCAGCGCAAGCCTCTATTTATGCATCTGCGCACACCTCTCTCCCACCCACTAATCCTGTGTTTGCACGGGACTAACTCGGAAATGGACCTTCCTTTGTCCGAACCATGGTCTTCTCTGAGTAAAAGAGCTCCCTGCTTGAAAAAATATCGTTGCAAAAAGAGTCCTTTTTTACTATGCATGTTTTAACTGTTTGTGAAAGTATATTGCTAAGAGGCTTGAGAAGGGTGGGCAGAGTGCCAAAGCCAGGTAAGCTTAGTGGAAGACCTTTGATTTGCCTGAAGGCTGATTTGTCTTTACGTGATTGGATGGGGTGTGTAGTTTGTAGATTTTTTTTTTTTTACATTCCCCTTGGGCATATTGCCCTTATTTAGCAGAAAACATCCCTGAAATGATTCACAATCCCAACCCTTGTAATCCTAGAACCTGTGATCTTCTATTATGTTACAAATTATTTTCATGATGGCCTTCTCATTTCTTGGCAAAAAGTAAAGGTACATTAACCACAGGTCTGTAAAAAAATATAAATCAAGTGCTTGTATAATATTTCAAAGCTAAGGAAGTAATTGACAAGAGGCAACTTAACAGTATGAGCTTGGTGTACTTGCCTTGCCATTGGGTACAATAGCAACTCCCCTCGAAGGTGTTCTTTCTCATTTCTTCAGTGGCAGGTGCTCCTGCTAGGTCTACGTGAAGCCATTTACCCCATTTTTCAGACCTAGAAACTGAGGCCTATGACTTTTTTTTTTTCACTTGAGATTGTTTGGTTACTTGAGGATTTTAAGACTAGAACTTAACTTAAAAGTTTAGGATGGAGATGTTCTTTTTATTTCTTACTCAGCAGTGAGATAGACACAGAGGGATATCTTCCATCTGTTGGTTCACTTCCACAACAGCCCAGTCTGGGCCAGGTGGGAGATAGGAGATAGAACTCAATCAAAGTCTCCCTCATGGGTGCCAGGGGCCTGAGTACTTGTGCCAAGACCTGCTGCCTCCAAGCAGAAAGCTGGAGTCAGGAGCCGGAGCCAGGACTTGAACTCAGGAGCTCTGATATGGAAAGTGGGTGTCTCAAGTGATTGCTTAAGCAGACACCTGCCCTTCCCAGTGTTGAACACAAAAGTAACTAAAAGATGCAAGCCTCATCACATGCCTTTGTAAAATAGTTCACATCATAATATCTCAAAACATTTTCAAGTATGTACACGATTTCAATAGAGCTTTGAGTTCTGTGGGCAAAATAATGATTCTCAAAATACTGACTTGTGGTTCTAAATCCATAGAGAGAATTTCTTTAGGTGTTTGAAAACAATTATTTGAGTTAAAGGCTTAAAACTGGAAATGCTGTTTGGTGGATCCTTGGTCTCTTCAGGTGTTAGAATATTCGATTCAACCCCTTCGTCATGCAGATGAAGAGAATGAGGCACATACCAAATGCTTTTTTGAAGGTCCCAGCGTGGGGCAGGGCCGGCACCAAATCCCAGGTGTCTTGTGGTCAACCAGATGCAGATAGTGGAAAGTAGATCTTGTTTGGAGCTGCAAAATCGTGGTCTGTGTCCTGCTTTCTGTTCACTGGAGGATCTCAGAAAGGATCATACTATTTTTTTTTAAAGAATTATTTATTTTGCCGGCGCCGCGGCTCACTAGGCTAATCCTCCACCTTGCGGCGCCAGCACACCGGGTTCTAGTCCCGGTTGGGGCGCTGGATTCTGTCCCGGTTGCCCCTCTTCCAGGCCAGCTCTCTGCTGTGGCCAGGGAGTGCAGTGGAGGATGGCCCAAGTGCTTGGGCCCTGCACCCCATGGGAGACCAGGAAAAGCACCTGACTCCTGGCTCCTGCCATCGGATCAGCGTGGTGCGCCGGCCACAGCATGCCGGCCGCGGCGGCCATTGGAGGGTGAACCAACGGCAAAGAAAGACCTTTCTCTCTCTCACTGTCCACTCTGCCTGTCAAAAAAAAAAAATAAAAGAATTATTTATTTTATTTGAAATTCAGAGTTACACAGAGAGGAGAGGCAGAGAGAGAGAGAGAGAGAGAGAGAGAGAGGTCTTTCATCTGCTGGTTCACCCCCCAATTGGCCACAACAGCTGGAGCTTCGCCAGTCCGAAGCCAGGAGCCAGAAGCTTCTTCTGGGTCTCCTATGTGGGTGCAGGGATCCAAGGACTTGGGCCATCTTCTGCTTTCCCAGGTCATAGCAGAGAGCTGGATGGGAAGTAGAGCAGCTGGGACTCCAAATGGTGCCCACATGGAATACAGGCACTGCAGGCGGTGGCTTTATCCACCATAGTACCAGCCCCAGAGGATCATACTATTGTACGTGACTGTTTTGAGTATTGAATGAGTTAAAAAACAAGGATTATTTGCTATATTACTTGGCTAGGACAACCATAACAAAGCATCAGAGCAATGTGGGCCTTCCACAGCAGAGACCGATTCTCTCACAACTCCGGAGGTCAGAGATCCAACAGCAATGCATCAGCAAGGTTGGTCTCCTCAGAGGCCTCCCTCAGCTCGCGGGTGGCTGTCGCCTTCTCCCTGTTGCTCCCAGGGTCTTCCCTCTATATCTTTCTGTGTCCCAGCTTCCTTAGAAGACACCAATGACACTGCCTCAGGGCTCAGCCTAATGACTGGTTTTCATGAAATCACCCCTGTAAAGACCACATGTAGTCATATTCATCTTCGGTACTGGGGATTTAGGGCTCCAACGTGTGAATTTTAGGTAGACACAACTTAGCCAGGCCAACGACGTTTGGTGACTACAAACATCTCTGATTTGTTGTAATTAAGTGTAATGATCTAATCATCACCCTGCTTTTACTACAAGTCAGTACAAACCTGGTATTTTTCATGGTGGCTAAGGAGTGGCAAGGAACAGATGAGTATGGGAACGCAGGATGTGTGGCTATCCTGTTTCGATGCCAGCAGGGTTTGGTCCATGACACAAGGATGCTTGCAGAGAGGTGGATGAGGGGTTCTTCTGAGATGCCATTAAAGAGCCTCGCTTTCAATAGTCCTACCACGTGATCAGTCTTTGGGCTTTGCCTGATACTGGAAATATTCTTTGTTGCTAGGTAGATATTTTCATAATATCTGAGTAGTGTTTCCATGACTAGGATTTGATGATTTGATATATAACATTTGGTAAGTGAAACTTAACAATGATCCTAACAGCAGTCACAATTAAGGAGGTAATATGTCTTTGTGTTTTAAATATTTTTAAAGATTTATTTATTTATTTGAAAGCCAGAGTTACACAGAGAGAGGGAGAGGCAGACAGAGAGCGAGGTCTTCCATCCACTGGTTCACTCCCTAGTTGGCTGCAACAGCCAGAGCCGTGCTGATCTGAGGCCAGGTGCCAGGAGCTTCCTCTGGGTCTCCCATGTAGGTGCAGGGGACCAAGGACTTGGGCCTTTCCTAGGCCATGGCAGAGAGCTAGATGGGAAGTGGAGCAGCTGAGACTTGAACCAGTACCCATATGGGGTGGCGGTGGCTTTACCCGCTATGCCACAGCGCCAGCCCCTGTGTTTTAAGTATTTGAGTCATCAGTATTTTTTAAAACTTAAAGAAGTTTGAGACACATATACAAATTACACACACACACACACACACACAGAGCTCCCATGTGCTGGTTCACTTTCCAAACACTCACAGCAGTCAGGGTTGGGCCAGGCTGGAGCTGGGGGCCAGGAACTCAGTGCAAGTGTGAGTGGCAAGCAGCCAATGAGTTGAGCCATCACCACTGCCTCCCTGGGTCTGTACTGGCAGGGAGCTGGAGTCAGGAGGTGGAGCGGGGAACCCAACTGGAGCACTTGAATGTGGGATTCAGGCATCTAAACTGGTGGGCTAAACGCGTGCATGTATGTCATCGTAACTTCAGATGCCTTTATTCAGGCATATTTTTAAGTATGTTACTTTATATTTCTACGTGAACTCTGGAGACATAATCATGGATTCTTACTGAGTGTCCACTATGGGCTAGACCCTTGACTATATCATTTCAGGTGTTCACTCATTCATTTCTTCACTGATTATTCATCAACTCTATTTCTGTGGCAAATATTACACAGGCAATGAAAATGTAAAGGTCAGGCCGGCGCCGTGGCTCACTAGGCTAATCCTCTGCCTTGTGGCGCCGGTACACTGGGTTCTAGTCTCGGTCGAGGCACCGGATTCTGTCCCGGTTGCCCCTCTTCCAGGCCAGCTCTCTGCTGTGGCCAGGGAGTGCAGTGGAGGATGGCCAAAGTGCTTGGGCCCTGCACCCCATGAGAGACCAGGATAAGTACCTGGCTCCTGCCATCGGGTCAGCACGGTGCGCTGGCCGCAGTGCGCTGGCCGCCGCGGCCATTGGAGGGTGAACCAACGGCAAAGGAAGACCTTTCTCTCTGTCTCTCTCTCTCACTGTCCACTCTGCCTGTCAAAAAAATAAAAAAAAAAGAATGTTTAAAAAAAAAAAAGAAAATGTAAAGGTCAAAGACTCCTTTCAGTTCCCGAGGTGGCGAGACGCATACACGGATCACAGCAGTTCAGGGGGATAAGCCACACTACGGGGAAAGCACATAGATGTTTACAACATTGTCCCTTCCCTAAGGGCTGCTTAGAATCTTGAAGGCAGAAACACATACTCATTGATCATCCTCATGAGAACAGCACGCAATAAGGTGCAGGTAAATGACGTGGACGTCAGGTGTTTCTATTGTGCCAGTGACGGGGAGATTGCTACCCAGTAGAATGCTGAAACTGGTGATAGGAAGCAAGAATTCCGGTGATAGGGAATTTGCCAAATCTATTTGTGGGGAATGTGATGGATCAGTCTTCCTGGAGTGAGGTCCATTTGGGTGGCTCACGGGCATGAAGATTGGGAAGGTACTTTGAGGCTGTTGTCTGGGAACTTTGAAAGCCATTCTACATTTAGAAGAAGTGTGTGATCAGTAAGGTGGCCAGCTGTAGATTCAGGTATATACAGTGCATTATAACTATTATAGCTTCACTAACCCAGGCAGTTACCTAACCACTCTGTACTCTCGTCATCTCAC